AATAGTGGTTGTCAAATTTGAGTATATATTTTTGTCGAGGGTCTTGATATCTTGAAACGTGTACTATCTATTATAGAATATTTGATGGAAAACATATCATCTTTGTTTGTTAGCTCATGTTTGGGTCTTTGATATCTTGAAACGTCTACTATCTATGTGGTCATGTCGAGTACTACGTACCAATCGTGCTCTTATAGTGTTTAGTGGTCTTGATGAACTTTCTTCTAAATGCGCTTCACTTCATTTACATGCTTGTGACAGTCGATGCTCAGCTTGCATTACTGGATGGAGGGAGTGCAACAAGTCATACGTGTGTTTGAATCTAATTTTGAGGAGAATAGAAATTTTGGAATAGTGATTGATGTGAGAATGTATGGTAGAAAAGTGATGAAATTTTTTTGATTTGTATGTAATATTATTTTATTTGAAGAATGTGTGGTTGAAATGAAGAATGAGAATGAGAATGAAAAATTAATGGGTGCCAAACGGGGGCATATAAGTACTAAAATAATATTTTCTATTTAAGAAACTAAAAGAATATCATGTTTCAGCCAAGTTTAAACTATATTTTAATTTATTAATATTTATGATCTCAATATTTTCTAATATTTTTATGAAGCCTGTTTGGATCATAAGGCTGCAGGTTAATTAGGTATACACCCGACCAAATGACTGATGGAAAATCAAGGAAACACAAAAATCAGAAACCACTTATTGAATACAGGGGTTAATAAAAATATTAGAGACTTGTTTGTTTCCATTAGAAATCATATTTCTGACCGTTGCAGCCATCATATTTGAAGAAATTGTGTGATAGTGGGCCCCATTTTGCGGAAAAAAAGGGACAAACAATTGATTTTCTTGAGAAAATAATCTAAAACGGACGGGCACTAGGTTTTTATCGAAGAAATTAAAGGCAAGAAGTAAAGAAATAACCTTTTCAAATGGGGTAATTAACAGAAAAGGTCTCCAACGTTTACACTCTTTGCTAAAATGGTCTCTATCATTTTAAAATTGGCATTTATATCCTTATTTCAAACGTTTATTGCGGAATTGATCATTCCATCCATAAACCGTTAAACATCCGTTAGAACCTATTGGTAGTTTGCAGAAATGGTCACTATGGAATATAATTTAATATAATTTTGGAACGGCCTGTTTCGACGAG